CCACGGGAAAGAAAGGGGTGGCCTGTTCTATGCCGGGGCAAACTTTTTAGTATTTATTTTTATTTTTTGATCTATCTTTAAAATCGTCATCACCATATCATCGATTATGTAATCGAAATCGAGATTTTTATTCATTTTATCACCAAATAATATAGTTACGACCGTGGTCCAAACGGCTGACTTTCTCTGCCGTCAATCGTGTTAGCAACGCCTACTTTTGTCCGTGTGTATTGTTTCCGCGGAAACTGGTCATTATGGCCATTCTTTGCCTTGAGTTACAACGTTATCTCCACCAATATAGGTACTAACTAGCTTTTATCCACGGCTTCGTCCGCTTGACCGGGATACGTTTCATAAGGAGCGACTAAGGAAGGCCGAGGGATGGACAGCAGCATCCCTCTTAAAACATTATCAAAGGTCAAATTGCGGTTGTCAAACTGCCTGCCAAACGTAGCGATTACTGGTAAAACTACCTTTATGGGGAAGGCTTGAAGCAGTGGACAGTTAGCGCCTAAAATAATAATAAAATTAATTAATTAATTAATAACATTCTTTTAACACAAACATTTAGATTAATCTATCTCATTCAATGAGTGTTATTTTGTATTGTGTCACTTTTGTTTCGTGTCGTTTTTTTCTCATAAAAGATCAAAATAGATTTTAGTAAAATCGATTATAGAACGTCGATTTTTTATGGTTTGATCAGAAACATCTAAATTTTTTTTCTTCGAATCGATAAACCAAATTTTTTATTTGTATTACATACATATCATTTCTATTTACCCGGAAGAAACATGTCGATTGAAAAAATTGTTACAGAAATATTTATTCTTCAAGGACAAAAATATTTTTTTACATTTCTTTATTTATTTAAGTATACTTTTAAGTCAAATAATCATTTCGCAGGCAAAACCATAGATGACAGTTAGTATATTCTATCTGTTACTACCATAAACATTGTTCTAGAAGGTCGAAATCTACATAAATTTTCTATGGAGACCACACTCTAGTCTCGTCAAGGATATCTTTAATTTTTCCTTAATTTTTATTATACATATATCTATAACATGTTACAATAAGGTAAAAGATTTAAGGTTAACACACCACGGTTGGTTTCCTGCAGTGGGTCTCCTCAATAATTATAATAAATTCATATCGAGAAATGTCAGGCTCCATGCAATCTTCTCTATAAGGAACGTCCTGCACAACCGGTCGCGCAGTTTGCTTTCCAAGAAATCACATTAAATTATCGATTGGATCGATCAATCAATAATGTAATAGATACTCTTTATTGTTTCCTCCAAAAGATTACAATAGTAAACTTATTGTAGATACAAACAATTACAAGAAATGATCACAGTGATAAAACAATGGGCGACCTTTTTTTTGCAACACAGGGGGCAAACGAGCATGCGGCTCACCTGATGGTAAGTGACTACCGCCGCCCATGATCACCCACAACACCAAAGGCATTGCAGGTGTGCTGCCGGCCTTTTAAAAAGGAATATGCTCTTTTCTTGAAGGTTACGATGATCTTATCCCTAAAAGCGATCTCTTCCAGGCAACCTTTAGGTCGAAATGAGTAATTAATGAATGGATTTATCCAGATGGTCTGCAAAGCAAAATATGAATCTATCCGGCTCAAAGGACCATTTCTGTGTAGCTCTGGGAGAGTGCACCGTAGGTTGTTTGCTGGATACGTGAATAAAGGAACACTTTTTATTACACAGGACACTTTTATAAAGTATTTTGGACATACAACGTTATAATACAAGAAAACACGTCTTTTCGGTACGGTAATTGAAGCAAGAGAGTTTTACTGTTGCCATGACAAAAATAAAATTTTAAATATTTATTGGGTTGCCAACAAGTAATATTACAAAATTGTAACTAGACGATGTCTGTACGTGGAAAATATTTGAGAATAATTGATATGAAGTGTCTTAATAAAACTAACAGAAGCCAAAGCAATACTCTTGATTTATTTCGTCAGGTCGCCTGTCTGACAGTTTGTTCCGGTATCACGCAAAAACTATTGCACCAAATTGTATACAGTTTTCATAGTTATGTTTCTGAAGATGTAACTTCAAATCTGGTATGAGTTTTATCTCGATACGCCATCTAGAAGTGGTATATTCCGTTACTTTTCCTATTTCTGAAATCCACGCTAAAAAGCTAGTACGTAAGCTAGTAATAAATAAAAATATTATTGCCAATTATGTAAAAAAAAAAGATTGTATCATTAAAAATAATTAAACTTGTGTCCGAAGAGAATCGCTGCAACTGCGACGCAATTACCGTATTCATGCCGAAGAAGACTTCCGGATAAATCGTAACAATTGTCGGAAGCGATAATCATATAAATATCTTAAAAAATATATAATAAAGTTCAGTGGTTGCCCATGCTACAGGGTACAAGACCTCATTTCGTTATTTTTCTCTTCATTACCATCCGTTTCAACTCTCCTTTTATCAGGGGGGGGGGAGGGAATTGTTAGTAATGGGGTCTAACTGACGCATTGCCAGCAACACACTCTCATATCATGTCGATCTCCACGTGTTTCCCCCAGGAAACCATCGTGGTTAATTCTAGTGGAATACGTCACGATGGCTAACTGACCTGCTTTCATCGTCACCTATCATCCGTCACTGGTGCCACGCCAGCGTATAACGAAAGAGCAGGTTACCATTCCATTATCATCCATTAAAAAAACACTCTCCTTTTATCAAGTTTAAAACAAAATAGTCAAATAAGAAGAATTACGAAAGAGATATATCGAGCAAGAATGAATGGAGATGTCGGTAGGGGCCGCCCTAGACGGACGTATGTTGACCAAATAGGCGACGTGCTGAAGAAGGACTAAATTAAAAGTACCCGTAACCGGCGAGCGTGTATGAAAAGATTGATGAATGTGGAAGAAGCGAAAGAGTTGTATTGTTTCTGCCTACCCTAATGGGAGACAGGCGTGACAGATATGTATGCATGTATGCACCAAAATAGTTTATTAAACACTGTTCCTAATCTTGCGATTGGTAACTGGTCATCGTCATCATATCAGCCTTTGACTGTCCACTGCTGAACATAAACTTCCCACTAGGGGAAGGATTTCCCCGGATTGGCAACCGCAGTGATACTTTGGAGATGTTTTAAGTGGGACGCTGCTGTTTATTCCTCGCCTCGATAACTGATTACCACTGTCTTTTTTTATTATACCACTTAGAATGGAAAACAAGCTGACGGCCCACCTGATGGAAAGTGGTAACCGTCGCCTATAGACATGAGCAGTACCATGGGCATAACAGAGTATACTGTTTTGCCCATGACACCCCCCATGCGCTGTCATTCCTGAGGACTCGGGTGTTATTCCTCTGTACCCAGTAAATTCACGCCATATCCCACCCTTCAAATCGAAACACAGCCATGCAAACACAACTGCTTCACGGTTGAAACACGAATGGGACATAGGTACCCAAGCAATCGACTTTTGTACAAAGTCTTAACCTCTTGCTTTCTAACTTCCCATATAGTTATAATGATCTCATCAAAAATACTTTGGGAGCTTTGAATTAAGTAATAAATTTCGTATTCCCACTGTACGCGGCTCATAAATAACAAGCACGCTTGTTATACATTTTGAGTTTTCTATTACTTGACTGTGGATTCTAATATGTAATTTATTTTTTTCTTTGTAGAATTAAAAACTGTAGTTAATAAATATATAATAAATATATTTATTCATGTCTCCTCACGAACAACTCAAATTTACATATAAGCATTTAGGATACGATAAAATTAAAATAATATGGAACTTTGCTTTGCTGGAACTTGTCTCTAATAAATTAAGACCTGTAGTACAGATCACCAGGTCCCCAACCGATATGTGTTTAAATAATAATTAAACAAAATACATTGCACTGAAATTACACAATCCAAAAATAAAAATAAAAAAACAATAATTAATAGTAGGAGATAAAAAAATAACAATAAAGTTAATAATATATATCGATATATATGTTATATATCGTTAAGTGTCCACTGCTGAACATAGGCCTTTGTCTTGAGTTTTGTCAGTAGTAGTAGATAGGTGGGGTTTCTTTAATGGGTGATAATGGAATAGTAACCTCACTTGCGCTATCGGTATACACCGGCGGGGTACCAGTGAAGGATGATAGATGAGGATGAAGTAGGTCAGTTAGCCCATCGTGACGGATTCAATAAGAATTGTTCACGATGGTTTTCAAGGGGTATTACGTGAAGATTCGACCTAATAGGACATATTGTTAACAATGGGGCTGTCAAACTGCATTGCTAACAACCCCTTTCCCGCTAGATAGGCAGGTTAGTAACATACAAGTAGATACATATATATTATATAAAAAAGTTTACACAAAAATATTTTCTAAATTAAAGGCTACATGGTCTAAAATAGCAAATATTTTTCGTATATCAATAATTATTGATTGAAAGCGAAAGAGGCTTGTTTGTATTGAAGCATTTGGCGTTCCATTGTTTCTGCCTACCCTAATGGGAGACAGGCGTGACAGACATGTATGTATGTATGTATTGATTGACGCCACTGATTTGAGCAATTGTATTGCAATTTCGCGTAGAAATAAATATAATTTGATAGATGTTTTCACGTAATAGTGTGTGTGTAAACTTTCTAAAAAATCTCCGGTACATACGAGTACATACATACAAAGAACATGTCAGAAATGATGATAATGATAAACTAGATAAAGGTCAGGTGATGTCAAAATATAGATATGTACAACAATAGCACTTTTCCGGTTGGTTTATGTAACCAGTAATTATCCATAATTACACATGCTTATAATATTATCATTTATATAATATTTATTTCGCAGATAATACTTATAAAGTGTCTAAGCATGAAATAAATATACTGCAATCAATGTTACTTAATAAATCAGTACTTGATAAAAATGTTACAATATTAATTAAAAAGTTTTAAAATTATGATTATTTTTTATTCCAGAATAGACCGGGCTACCGCTGACATGAAGTATTAACGCAATACAAGTCGGATCATTATAATCAAAGCTGGGAACAAGTGAAGTGACCGCCTGCGCCCGCGCAACCGCGCCGCACACTCCAACCTCTAACCGCCATTCCACTGCCGCGAGCCTACATTGGAGCACGCGTCGCGATCGCATCTCTATTTATTTCTTTCGAAATAGTAACTCATTTGTTGTGGTGTATTACAACCTGTTTGCTACAATTCAATTGTTGTGTATCCATTTGAATTTCCGTTCGTACGTGTTCGAGTGAACAATTTCTCCTTAACGGACAAGTGCATTGAGTAAGTGTAGAGAAGGCTACATTCCAAACCGGTGTCGTTCTTTAATGGACGAGGTGTATACTCTGTGTGTGTTTCATTAGTTAGCGAGGGAAGTGACTGTGTTCCGCGGGGTTCTGTGAACTGGACGAAGCCCTTGTGATTTAATGACAAGTAGCTCACCGATGCTCAGTTTCCCGAACAGAATGTAATAGTACATAGACAAAAAGTAGCCAATTTAAAAGAAAAATGGCTCGAGGAACACTGAGCGAAAATGAACGCCAATGCCTAGACGGCGACGCAAAAAACCAAATGGATCGTCGACAAGAAACGGAAAAAACTCTAAGTGGTGATTGTAAGCCGAACGGATTGCGAGTCCGCTTCCTGGATGAGGAAGGAAAGACCGAGAGGACGGTGAGCGCGGACGAGGTCGATTACTCGGTATCTAAAGTGAAAAAGATACACATATTGAAAAACAGAAGCTCGAGCGAGACGAGCATACTTCTAAGGAATCCATCGCTGATGAAGAGGCACTCGAGCGTCGAGCGCCGCTTCAGCGATGGTAATACTGATAACCTTAATAACAACTCTATGAGTGAAAATCTCAATGGAAGGATATCAATTTTGAAAAATTCCAATTCTGATAATCTAGATAAGACTGAGAACGAGACAGATCAAACCAAAGACGCTAATGGGCTGAGCTTTAAGAAGAATTGTAACGTATATAGCGTAAACCAGGCGAAGACGTTGACGCCAGAGCGAAAGAAATCGTTACCTCTCACAATGCCAAGATTGATAGGCCATAAATTGCAAGAGAACGGACAGTGCAAATCTATTTTGCCAGCTGAGGTATGCCTTGCTGATGGAGCTTCTGGGAAAGACTTCACATCGCGCGCCATCGGGCGGCTGTCTAGAGGTTTGGGGAAACTTCTTCGACGCACCAATAGTGTGCGAATCAGCGATCCAGATCCAGTTTACAAGGTGGCTTATCTTGGCAACGTTCTCACTGGCTGGGCGAGAGGTAAGACAGTTTTAATTTATTTCTGAACATAGAAACATGTTTATCAAACACAAAACGAGTTCATGACACACATTATCTATTACTATATTTCACGTAAATCAAATTAAATTCATAAGTTTGAAAGTAGACATATATAAATAGTTAAATTTCTTAACTACAAATTCAGAAAATTAGGCGATTTGTAAAAGTTTGTTTGCAATATTTATAAAAGAACATACTTTTTAAATAATCATTTATGAACATAATAATAAAAAAAGGTTAGAAAATTGTGTTCTTTGTAAACAAACAATGTAAACACTTATATAATTTGTTTCTTGAATATTTAAAGTAACAAATTTAATACTGAATTAACAGAGCAGGCCGTTTGTTCGATGTAATTTCTTACATAGCCAGCTTGGTTGGTTGTAGAATAATAAAATAACAGTTATGCGGTAAACTGTATGCGTTCTAGCGTGTTTAATACTTCAAACTTCATCATAATTTGAATTTAATTCAACGTTGCTTAAATGGTTCAAGGCTAATCATTCAACCAAATCATTGAGTTCTTAAATGACGAATAGAGTATTCTATTTCGGCAGCTCGCTCTGTGTTAGTTGAGATCGCTGATTACGTAGTTCGAATATTAAATATACGAGTGAGTGTATTTATACTCATTAATCATATGTTGCATATTGATAAATAATAATTAATTATAATCATAAATGTCATTTTAATATCATGATATTATTGCTTATTGAAATAAGTATTATCAGCAATATTTACATTTTGTTTATTTCTGTTTAATTTAATAAAATTTTATCAGGAATTATCAAATTTTAATCTTCCCTATAATTAATTCTTGCATACATCAGCTTAATTTATAAATATCTGATAAAAAAAATCTGAACCTTCGCAAAAACTTTAAACAATTTTCAAAATTATTAAATATTAAAAATATTTGATAAGCCGATAACTTTGTACTAGACTTTTTCTATGCCATTTTCCAAAATTAACATGAATTCAAAGGTTTTTATTTTTTAATCTCATTTACAAATCAAACACTTAAAAACTTGTAATATATTATATTATAAAATAAAATTTCAAATTAATAATATAACACTTGCAAGTTACACAACAAATGTTTCTTTGTAACACAAAAAGTAAAATGATCAATCTTTTAATTCGCACGCTTGCAATTATACACTTTTATTTTATTTGAAAGGATTTACTTATACTCGTAGATTAATTCCATTTATAAAATATAAATGTATTCTAAATAGATTTATAAATTTATGACTATTAAAAGTTTAACATTTGAATATTTAATATTAAAACAACAAACTATAACATAAATTAAAATACTAATTATTTCATAATAATTTTACTGTACTTTCCTTACTTAAACGCTTACATTTCGCTAGTCTGTATCAGAATTATCGTGAAAAAATTGTAACAACTACTAAACGTTCAACATTAATTATTTATCAAAAACTTTCATTTATAATTTGCAAGTTTTTTATTATTCTCGTGTAATAATTGCGAAGAATTCTCTTAGAACACTCGTTCACTATTAACATAATCTTTGAAATGTAGAATGTTCATCTGGTACTTGATAATTAGATCACAAAGTGTGTAAACTAAATGACATCGTCTTCCCAAGTGTGCAAGTGTCTCGTGTAATAATTGTAAATAATGCAAGTCATTTCTCTTAGAACACTCGTTCACTATTTACATAATCTTTGAAATGTAGAATGTTCATCTGGTACTTGACAATTAGATCACAAAGTGTGTAAAATGACATCGTCTTCCGAAGTGTGCAAGTGTCTCGTGTAATAATGGCAAAGAATGCAAGTCATTTCTCTTAGAACACTCGTTCACTATTAACATAATCTTTGAAATGTAGAATGTTCATCTGGTACTTGACAATTAGATCACAAAGTGTGTAAACTAAATGACATCGTCTTCCCAAGTGTGCAAGTGTCTCGTGTAATAATTGCAAATAATGCAAGTCATTTCTCTTAGAACACTCGTTCACTATTAACATAATCTTTGAAATGTAGAATGTACATCTGGTACTTGGCAATTAGATCACTAAGTGTGTAAAATGACATCGTCTTCCGAAGTGTGCAAGTGTCTCGTGTAATAATTGCAAAGAATGCAAGTCATTTCTTTTAGAACACACGTTCACTATTAACATAATCTTTGAAATGTAGAATGTTCATCTGGTACTTGACAATTAGATCACAAAGTGTGTAAACTAAATGACATCGTCTTCCGAAGCGTGCAAGTGTCTCTGTTTATTTGAACGCTTATTAATTACTATTAATGAACTGTGAATATTTACAAATTAACAGTGAACCAACTGACCTCTGCAGTACGGTTAGTCGAAAAATGTTTATAGTAATTAGTTACTTTACAAAACAATTGTGTTTTGTATTATTTTTTTATGATCTTCGTCTTGCAGGGGAAATTATATATTTTCTGATTAGAATTTATTACTTTCGCAAGTCTTAAAGACTATACATGAAATTTCTCGTACTACAATTATTATATTCGATTGCCATCTTGCAACCCTAATGCGGAATATAAAAATTGCGATTAAAAAACAGGTGTTGGTTATAAAACGGCGAAAATTGGAAGTTGTATGTATTTTTCGATTCTAAATCATAATAATATAAAATGAAAAAAAAAAATTGTCCAAAAAATAAAAATAAAAATTTTTGGGGAGGGTCACTCTTATCATTGAGGGGTATGAAAAATAGATGTTGGCCGATTCTCTTTTGGCCGAGGAGTATGGTAACAAACACCGCGACACGAGAATTTTATATATTAGATAAACTAGAATAAGATCAGTATTGGAAATTAGTTAAATTACGACGTATGGTACTACAATACTTGTTCATTAATTAATAATTAATATAGTGAAAGAAGCAACTATCATACATATAAACAATTAGCTTAAAAAAGTTTTTATCAAGAGTTGTTATCACTGAAAGTATTTTAGTCACATTATCGTCAAGGTAATGTTTATTAATTTTCTAACAAACATACAACACTACTTTGTATCGTATATATTCTTCTAAACATATCGTAATACCGAACTGGTTGAATCTCGTCAGAGTTATCATATTTAACTTTGTACCAGATAAGGCCAGGCAGATATGAAATTATAAAGGAACAATGTTCCCATCATCTACTTAAATGTAAGGTTGAGGCAGCCTCTTTGTAATAAGGCAATTTATTCTCAATTGATGTCAAGAGCTGAGGTCAAACGTGCTGTGCGATAGTGAAAGTGAGATCTGCATCTACTGAGACGGAATCCTGATCTTCACGTACCTACTTTTACTTGGTCCAAAATCGCGGTATGTTTGTTTGGTTACAGATGTTCACTCCACTACGTATTCATTGTGCGTGTAATGTTTATGACTAATCTATTTGGATTTCTTATCTATCCATTTTATATACACCAGTTTTTGGTAGACATCTTCAAAGGAAGAACGGAAGGTCTATGTAGTAGTGAAATTAAATCCTAAACAAATTACAATGCAGACTAAATGATTAAATGTAATAAATGGAATATCGTAAACAAGATGCGTCTTTTTTTATATACAACTTAGAATGGCAAACAAGCTGACGGCCCACCTGATGGAAAGTGGTAACCGTCGCCTATAGACATGAGCTGTACCATGGACATAACAGAGTATACTGTTTCGCCCATGATACCCCCCATGCGTTGCCATTCCTGAGGACTCAGGTGTTATTCCTCTGTACCCAGTAAATTCACGCCATATTCCACCCTTCAAATCGAAACACAGCCATGCGAACACAACTGCTTCACGGTTGAAACACGAATGGGACAGAGGTACCCAAGCAATCGACTTTTGTACAAAGTCTCCCTCTGCTCTTGAATAATGGTTTAACTGCACCTGTACCAATCAATAAATATATATATTTTAATACGCTTATAACAATTAGCATATATTTGTGTACTAATCAGTCATCACAAAAACATGAGTTAATTATGTATGTAAACAGCGCGTATGTAAAATAATTTCTTTTTATAAATATTCTCAGAGTCTCATATTCTTGGAGGTTAGCACGATAAAGACATGATGGAATGTCTTTGCTCAGTTAAAGACGTAACTGCATATATTGCGCATCACGTTAAGTTCAAGGATTAATTTGTTATCATATAAAGATTACCATAATTCTCTTAGTTTTACGGATTAGCGAAAAAAGTTACGACGTCATTAGATTTTGTATAATAATCCAGTGTCTAATCGCATAGCAAATTTACTAAAAAAAAAGTTATCGAAGGTTACATTTCAAGGTTGGGTTAATGTGCAAAAACGACATAAAAGTAATTATTTTTATGGGGTTCTTAGTTATTTTTTTTTAATATTCACAAAAAAAAAAACAGTGCCATTATTCGAATACAGTTGTTAAATGACCTCGATGGTATATATTCGTAGGCAATAATTATACTAGTTGTAAATTCGTAGGTTTAAACTGTGAGTTTTGTAACACTCTCATCGACTTATACGTTTTCCTTAACTTCACTTAATACTTCGACTCCATCACCTGAGACCCCATGACTGACAGCGGAAGCACGCTCGTTGATCAAGATTTCTCGTCCCTCTCTATCGTACAGTCTCTCTCTCACATTTTTTTCGTATCAAATTCCAGGCTTCATTGTTTAGTCGTCCGGTCCCACAGACACGCTCTGTGGTTCAGCGACTCCCGCTATCACGTGTTTATTGATATCCACTCTATTACCGTTTAAAAAAGTTCATATTGGCACTTAACCTAGTTTACTTTTATCTAAATTCTGGTTTTGACAATTATTTCTTATTCAGAATGTGATGCGCCATTTTTATATGTCGTTAGAGACATTAAATTTTTTATTTGTTTTTATCTGTTATTGTTAAAAATGTTTAAATTACATGTAGTTGATGTTATGTCGATTCGTCAGTTATTTTCATGTTTTTACTCCTCATAATTTTTGACAATGCATAATATGT